CATACCCCATAGGAAACACTGAACTTTGCTGAACCTCTATTCTTTTTAAAGCCAGAAATGACCTTAAAAATGGAAGCACTTCTAAACGGTCGTCTTCTACAGCCAGCGCACACAAGTTCTAGTAATCAGGGACAACTTAAAGCTGAGTGGCAGTTCTCAGCACATGCTAATGAGGCAGACAGGAAACCGTTAATCACGCTGGTCACCTCTTCTGAAGAGACTCCAGACTAGCTTCCATTTTCATAACAAGCTTTCAAAGTTCTTTTAACGACACAAGAGGCTACAGTCCCACTGGCAATTAAAATCATGTTGGGACACGCCATGATTTGTTGTGATATCGCAGTGTGACACAACGCCGTCAACAAATGTTGGCTGGGAAAATTCTCAGGAGAAAACGGTCACTCAACGGTCAACCCATTTTGAAGACTAATGTTTGCAGTAAAAGACAGAATGAACAGTCTTGCATCTTATGTAGACATTCTCGGGAGCTGTTAAATAAAGTTTTCAGCCAAAAACAGGATTTTCTTTTTAATGCGTTTTGCCTGTTTGTTTACATGACAACAGCATTTTGGACTGAAAAATGCAAAAATCTGATAATTTTAGTGCAAAATTATGGCAGTCATCACACTAAACACTGCACATTCTACTACGAATGTAACAATAACAAATATTTTTAGTGCAAAAATAATGTATACATTATCAGCACAAAGCACACCAATTTATGGCAAAGTATTTCATAATAACATAACGCATAAAGACAGCCTAAAGCGGTCTCACTAGTTGCGTTTCCATCCACCTACTTTTATGCACATTTTGGAATATTGCAAACTAGGGCTGCAACAACGAATCAATTAAAACGATAAAAATCCGATTACTAAAAGCATTGGCAACGAATTTCATAATTAATTCGTTGTGTTGCGCAATGCATAGACAAAAATTATATATATTAAAAATTATATATATATAAAAAAAAACACTTTAGTTGAGCGCGGAGCGAACACGATCTTTCTCATGCACTGATACGAAGTTCAGCTCCTCATAGACGGGAATGAGGAGGAAAGGAGTAAGGCTAGGGGATATGGGCAAAATATCACATTTTATAATATCACACCGTATTAAAACTTTATTAAACATTTTGAGCAAAATTTAATTCAAACACAGGGGTTTCCCTCCCTGTTTACAAAGCTGCAAAAAAATAACAGCTGCACAAAATCTGACAAATAAAATACAGTACTGGTTTTCCTTCTGCTTAAAACTAAGTAGCACAGCATTTCAATTCATAAAAACAAATCTTTGACAGTACAGTTTTTTTCCTGCTGAACACTATACACAGTACTTTGTGCTGTTGTGCAAATAACAAAGTAAACAGTACCATAGAAAACAGCTACATTGTCAGAGCAAAAAAGGAACACATTTAAATAGTAACACAACAAAAAGTATTGTAGGATAAAAAAGTAAATATACTTTTGTACATTTATTTACAATAAATGTAAATATGAAACCCAAAGTATTATCACAATTACAGTGTTGTTATAAGTTGTAAAATGTTATAAGATGCATCTAAATTTTAAAAATGCAGAGGAAAAAAAAAAAAACATTATACACACAATTGAGTAGGATAAACTTTATCCGATGAGAAAAAATGTGCATAAACTACGATGGAAACGCATTTACGAAATAAAATAAAATAAAAAAAGTCACGTGCTTTTAACAGATCATTTGATAACAAATCCTCAACAACATCCATTTTTCTTTTGATACTTGGCGGAAATTTATCAGTAAGTGACGTTTTTGTTCTCTTACACTCGTTGCATCAAATCGGTGTTTTATTCGCAAATGTTTTATGCGATATTCCAGTTTTGTGCATAAATTTAATTTGCATCTTTGGATGGCTACTGTCAAAGTTCTGCTCATATATTTAACGCTTTAACGCAAGGATGATGCGAGCCAAAATTTTTTCGTGGTTACTGGCTCATCTTGGTTTTCAGATGTCTCCTTACTGCGTATATCTTTACCACGTTCACCTGGGATGATATTTAAACATGCTATGAAGTTCACGGCACACTTCACAGTTTCTGCAAATTTTGAAACACATCAGCATCTACAATTTGCAGAGGGCAAAAGCCAATCACAATACTTTTACAATGTTGCATAAACATATAAGCTAATAAATGCTCTAGAGCAGATGCATGGAGCAATCTAACTGGCTGACACCTGTTTGATGATTTAAAGTTCACCCAAAGTTTATGTGAATTGATGCTGACAAAAATAAAAAAAAATGTAATTAATTTGAATTATCTGAGGGCAGTGAACCTATATTTGGGTGTAAGCAAGTTTATCTGTCTGCGCACTGCAAGACGGGCTTAACATGAAGGGGGTTCAACTTGTAGTAGAGGTGTAACTTGCAGTTATTGAGATCCCATTGAACAAAGCGAGATGTCACACGAGATGTTGTTGGCAAGATGGCGGAAATACTTAGAGAACATTTTCAGCAAATTTTTTCATGCATTTACTCCAAATTTATCCACAACCTATTCATTTGATATATTAAATTCATTCATTTAGCAACTCTATTTGCTGACTTCATCCATTTTGTCATGACAGTTGCAAATAACAGCTACAATGGATGAGTGAGTCCAGTACGAAATCCTCCAAAACTCATGGCTGTACAGTAAAGTAGGAGTAAACGTTGATAAGTATGAAGGTTGGATTAAGAAATTGTTTTAGGTGTGCATGTTAATAACTGTTTTTGGAGGTGTACACGTTAATAATGATGGTGGTTGGGTTTAAGATTGTGGAAGGTGTACAAGTTAATACCTGTGAAGGTTGGGTTTGGGGTTGGAGAAGGTGTATACGTTAATAATGATGGTGGTTGGTTTTAAGATTGTGGTAGGTGTACAAGTTAATAACTGTGACAATTGGGCTTGGGGATGGTGTACACGTAAATAATAATGGCAGTTGGGTTTAAGATTATAAGACAACTTAGTTTTCACATCTCTCGATAACTTCAAGTTACGCCTCTACTACAAGTTACGCATCCTTCATGTTACACCCCTGTCATGGTTCATGGCAGAACCATGTGACCTGCACAGCACAACTAGTCGACGTCAATCAAAAAGCGTCATGGCAGAGCATCAATGTCAACCAAATCAACTAATCTGCACAACCCCTAATGTAAACATTTGAAAACAAGAGTCTTTAAAAATGACAATGTCATGTATACGAATATTCAACACAATCTCACGGCAATTCGTAACTTTATTTTGTGGCTAATTCGTATGAATTCGTACAATCTAATATGTACAATTTAGTACGATTTGCTCATGCCCCAATGACGGTTGGGTTTACGGGTGGGGTTAGGTGCCAAACCTTCATTTTAAAATCGTATAATTTCGTACGACTGAACTGGTACGAATTAGCAACTAAACTGGCAAAACATAAAATACCTACGTTTTCTCGTGAGATCAGGCTGGAATATTACATGTTTAGAAAACATACACACCAGCTCTGAGCCACCAATGGCAAAACGTCACTTCAATACAGGTGCTGTTTGCTAACAAGGTAACAGCGCCAAATATTGGCCTGGCATATTTAACACAGCACTTTTGGAATACAGCAATTTTGTGGATCTACAAATGTGCACTGTTTTTGTAAATGTCACGTGAATGTGATTTTTTTTTTTTTTCTAATAAAATGTAGCCTCAGACATGACAATTACGAAAAACCTATCTGAAAGCGGATGACCCAAAGGAGAAGTCCACTGCCTAAGACTCATTAAAGCCACCACACCTTTTCGTAACTCTAATACAAACGACACAGATGACATTTCTCCAAACCTCCATACAAACTTCAATCTCCAATAACACGGAACATGTACAAAGAGTCCATAAACAACATAAGAGCCACAATCATGGCACAAAAAATTCTCTTGTTCTCCAGCGGACATGGACCTCACACTGAGAAATAAACACAGGCACCACCGTTTCTGCAGAGTGCAGGCAAGATGTGTGACAAGAACGATTAGCTGACTGCTTGCGGTCTAAAATCAATTTTACATACAAAAAAAAAAAAAGCCAGTGCATTGCCAATAGATCTGCCTTAATCCTATTGCCTTAAGATCCCTTAAAATTCATGTTCTCTGCTTCACACTAAAATAAATACAGTTCTTTCTGCAGTTATGCACTTTGCTTTTTTATGTTTGCTTAGAAAATAACACTACAGAAGTGTATTAGCCTTTATCTGCCTTTGTGTTATAAGAAAAAGACACTGCAAATGGTACAAGAGAGAGAGAGAAACCTGTCCGTGTCTCCCTGAAATTGACAATTCAGTTCTCATAACCTGCCGTCTGCAGGGGAGTTCATATTGTTTAGGGGGTCCAACAAAAAAAACAAACGTTAAAAAAAAAATAACAGTGCTGCCTTGGAGCAAAATGTATTTTCTTTGTTTCAACAGGAATCCAGGGACCGGAGGAGGTGGGGGGAACGTCTGAGCCGTTCTTGATGTTGCAAAAGAAAAGGTTAAGAGACCAAAACTGGCAAATAAGGAAGGGGAAAGAACTGTCTGGAAATTTTGGAAATGCATGCCAACAGATTTCGAAGACATGCCCTGGATCAGAGCACTTTCCTCCTGTCTGAAACCTGAGCCATTCAGCTAAGAAAAAAAGTCATCTGAGGCACTCAAAACCAAGAAAAAAGAAAAAAAAATCCATTATCGATCTGTGTTTGTTGTGGGACAAAAAAGAAGGAACCTGGCAGAGTGGACAGCAGCACTTGGGCGGACACTCTGAGCTTCAGACCAATTTACAGAGCAAAGAGGAAGAACTGCATTAGCACAAAAGAGACCAACACACTGACACTTAATCAAGAGCACTACCCACAAATCCCTGCAAATCACTTCAGATGGACACACGCATCACTGACCGCACTACAATGCATAGGTCTGCAGCACAAAACAAAACATTTGAAAAGCAAAAGCGTCAGCAAAAGTTTGGAAAGTCTGACCTTGGGTTGAGCACGTCGAGGAAAGGCGACCTTAGGATCAATCTGTGCACAAACAGAGAAAGAAAGAATGATGATGATGATGGGGAAAAAAAGCAAAGTCATATTTGAATGCAGTTACCCAGAGCTAAATTCATTACAATAAAGCCTTTCACACTTTGAGAAATAATCAACGCCATCGAGCTTTGGAATGAAAAATTACGAGCATGGATGGGCCACACTAGAAGGATGACATTAACTCTTTGGCTTGTCATCTTGTTAATTTAAGTTTGTGCTCCATCTGCTGAAGGTGTGCAGACAGAAAGAATTATCAGAGAAACTATTTCATGCTCCAGTGTCACACTGTCTTGCCTTCGCCTTAATACAGCCTCTTATAAAGAGGAGTTTCGAACAATCTCATACAGCCAGACGTAGTCAAGAGGAAAAACATAAACAGATCGAAATTGGGCTCTTGCAGGAAATTACTTGTCCATGTTCAGCAAGGCAAAGACTTCAGATTGTAGCAAAACTCCTAGTGTAGATTTGAACGTTTGCCTGAGGGCTTTGCAGCATATAAGTGTGTATCATTACAGACACAGAGTCTTTCTAAATAAAACACACACACACTGTTTTGCTGGACAAGGAGTCATTTCTCTGCTTATTCTACACGAGTGTTGTTTATATGAATATATTGGCCATCTAAAATATAGATGTGTTCTTTCGCTAGGATGCCAGGAGCATAATTATTCTCTGAAATGACACACTGATGTTCACTGAACTTCACCTTTTTTTCTCCCATAATTCCATTTGACTGAGCTGTGATTGTTATCTCCCCAAATCAGGTCAATTAGAGAGATGAATTTTGTAACACCTGGGTATGGAAACCTTCTCGGTGATGAATTTCATGTAGCGATTCGTTTTAGCAATTAGCCTGAGGCTTAACCAATTCAACCTCAATTACTCCATAGAAACAAGCCTATGTGAGCAGAAACAATATTACGCTTTGAATTTCAAATCAGAAGAAATTAGGAGCCTATTTTTTCCTCTACAGCCTGAGAGCAAACATCCCATTCTGATTAATGTACAGATAAACTGAATGCTATTTGAGGGTTTACCAGGTCTATAAATAAAGGCTCAGGGTTTTGAGTTTATTCATTCACAAATGATCCAGTTGTCTGATTTCCAATCAAATCGATACGCTGCATTTATGGAAACCTCAGAGGTCATCACTTATTAGTCCTATTAGTACAAACAGAGGTTATGCTAACACTGCTGGTGCTAGATCAGTCAAAACAGCTGTGGTCACAGCCATTCAGCCAGACAATCTAATAACAGACATTAAAAAAATATAGATCTTAAAACCTAGTGATAATCTAAATAAAACAGCAGACAGCAGTTATTAAGCCAATATGTAATTTAGACTCGAGCATACGTTGTGTAAATAAAGTCCTGTGTATCTCAAGATGAAGCAATTACTGAGCTTCTCCCATCTCAGCAGTAACAATTTAATGTGTTAGTAGCCTTTTATTGCTTTCAGATAGTGGCCTCGTTTAAATCTGGTGTTAACATCTTTTTTGGCGCATCTGATCACAAGTGGACAATGTTAAATACCAGTGTAAGAGGACCAAAAGCACAACCAATTATATAACATTTACACAAAATACAAGTAAACTTACTCAACCATAAAAAAATGGTCAAAGTTTTTCATTTTTCTTTAAATGCCAAATCACAGGAGATGCATCTAAGACCAAGTTCTCAATAAGCTCTGTTGCACCAAATTATTTATTCATAAATCTTAGAGAAAGTTTAACTAAACAATTGTTTTTAATCATTTTGCTTAAGATTGTACTGATTTTTTTTTTAAAAACACAAAGCCAATAAAAAAAAACAAATTTTTTTGACAGTAAATGAGTGGGAGAGGTGTTATTTTACCAGCATTGTCATGACAGCACAGTAGTCCGATTGCAAGCAGCAGAACCAAGTATACCATAAATAAATGTCCTGTCAGCATGTTAATTGAGTGCACTTTCCATTTTGGTGAGCATGTACACTTCATCCATTGATAAGTATATGATGGGAATAATTTCATGATTGGAATATCGACAGAGAAGAATATTAAGTTAATTTGAACTTTGACCAAACTCTGTTGCTCTTGCACTTTGGTCAATGGAGCAACTAAACGGCCTTTTCATAGCGCATTGAAATGAATGGGTTTCATAGCGCAGAGATTTCCTCGTCCAGTGTGAAAGATTCTTCACATCGCCCAGTGACTACATGTGAAAGGAGAGTGAAACCAGTGCACCGGTCAATGTGATGCAGCTTAACCTTTTCTTCCCAGCTCATTTTTGGCAATGTTTCCCCTTTCAGCTAAAAAACTTTTTTTTTTTCGTCAGAAAATTTGCCGCATCCTTAAAAATTTGAACCTCAGGCCATTAAAGATTTATAGGAACACTTTTTTTTTTTTCTAAATTGAACTCCCCTAGAGTTCAGCAGTTAGGATTCAATCTTGGGCTGCATCTGGGAGAAAAAAAAAAAAAAAAACGCAAACTACCATACTATATAGTACACTAAAAACAGTAAGCGAGACGAGTAGTATTTATAGAATTCGAAAAACAAAAGTCGAGAAGTACCTTGCTTACCTACTACTTCTGGGGAGATTTTGAAGTACGCATCTGATGCACGCTATGCTATCCCATGATGCAACTGACATGAGTAGTTCAAGTGATCATGACAAAATGGTGGATGTAGTACATCCTAGTTCCATTCATACTTCTCACATTTATACTTTACAGAACAGTGGTGTCCAAACTTGGTCCTGCTAAGTTTACCTCCAACTTGCTTCAATACACCTGCCAATAAGTTTCTAGTATATCTAGTAAAAGCTTGATTTGGTAGATTAGGTGCGTTTGATTAGGTTTAAAGCTAAACTCTCCAGGACACTGGCCTTCCAGCACCAAGTTTGGACACCCCTGGTATAGAACATACGTTTTTAACAGTGGAGTAGCATATTTAAATTCAAGTACCTACTGAATAGTAGGCAATTTCGGATGCTGCCTTTGAGTCTGGCAGTCGCACTTTTAGCTTAGCATACATGATTGAAGCGGATAAGACCAATAGCATCTCGCTTAATTTAAAATAAAGGCTTTCAAATAATTTTTCTATTTAAAAGCTGGATTCTTCTTTAGTTACATTTTGTGTCAAAACTGGCAGAAAATTAGAAGTTGTTTTATTATCCTGTAGGGCTGGCAATAACTCTTGTTTTACTTAAAGTGACTTATAAAATTTGCCTATTTCCAAAAAAGTTCCTTTAAGACTGCATTTTTGAATCACCAAGAGCTTTGATTTCATCTACATATATTTAATGATTCACTGAAAAAGAAAGTCACCTACATCTTAGATGGCCTGAGGGTAGGTACACAGAGCAAATGTACCTTTTGATGTGAACCATCCCTTTAATGCTAGATGTGAAGTGGACTAGTGAGACCCATTTCTTACAAAAACAAAAAACCTGAACTAGCTTTTACCCAAACTCCTCCAAAACAGCTCAGTGTGTCTCACTGTGGCAGAAGTTCCTAGAATGCCATCTTACTAGACAGTTCACAGAGTTTTAAGCCTATGATTTTTCAAAAATGCCTGGTACACGCATCCTCTCCCAAAAGTTCCTCTTCAAAAAGACATCACTCAAAGTGTTTACTGTTCTTGTACACTGTACAAAACTCAGCACTGATTGCAGAAGACGAGATAACAACCCCCTACTGCGATAAAAAGCTCACAGAAATCTGATTTCAGCTGAATACGAGCGACACACAGCACAGCCCTGAAACCTCACTGCCAGTCGTAATTATTCATTACCGTCAGATTTACAGACAGCGTTAGACACGCGAGTGTTTCTGGAGCACAGAAGACTGGGAGAATGAAGACAGCGTGTGGTGTAGTCGCTCCAGGTGTTCGGCGCAGTTTGTCTGACATTTAAGTTTCTTTTTTTAAATTTAAACTAAACATACTAAAGAAATCAACAAAAAGTGTCATTTTCAGAATGCCAGCAAACTGACTGATGTAACTATATATTTCCATTACGAATGTTCACATTTTCATCACCTCTAGGGGTCTTTTTTTTTTTTTTTTTTAAACAGCATAGTTTGATTTTAAATCTGTACACAACTGAAAAAAAATACAAAAAGTGAGCTGAGCGAACAGAGTTTAAATTAAATCTAGTACAGAATGACAGTTCAATATATGAAGACGTGCAAAATGAAACATCAAATCCATGTGGGTGGGAAGTACATGCCCGGAAAGAAAGGGGAAATCCGAGTGTGTCCTTTCAGTTCAGGATGAGATTGGATCAGTTTATAAAACTTACCTTTGAGTTTTTTTTCCACAGATTTTGGCTTGATTGAATTCTTGATTGAATGTCAGTCTAAACACCATCTACATAGATGCCAACTTAAAGGGACAGTTCACCCAAAAATGAACATTTACAATTTATTTACCCCCAAGTGGTTTCAAACTAGGGTTGCACAATGTTTCGTTTCAGCATCGATATCGCAATGTGCGCATCGACAATAGTCACATCAAAGATATGCAATGCTGAGTCTGAATTATAGTTGACAAAAGCTAAAAAATTGTATTAAATTTATATGATTAATGCAAAAAAATTAATTCTTATAATTTTTATTTTCATTCTAGTCTCAAAATCTAAATTTCAAAGCGAAAAAAAAAAACATTTCACTTTGGCAGATTATTCCCACTGGCAGATTATTTAGTTTGGTTTAAGGAAAAACTCTTAATTTTGACATTTCTTCTGACGGTTCTTCTGAGGCTATTAACTAATGTAGGGTCGTGCAAGTTCATTATTTCCAAATGGAGGGACGTGCGCACACAACCCGGGATGTGGGATGACGGGTGGCTTTTGTGACCGCGGGAACTGCAAACGGCGGAAGTCTGAGGAAAAAGCTGTACATGAAGAGTACACAGGTTTGCAAACCCATTTAAAGTTACAAATAACGGCGCCGATAAGAGCGATCACCACAGTGGAATGAACCGCCAACTTATCAAGTATATGTTTTACACAGCGGATGCCCTTCTGGCTTTAACCCAGTACTGGGAAACATCCATACACACATTCACACACATACACGATGGCTAATTTAGTTTATTCAATTCACCTGCATTGCATGTCTTTGGACTGTGGGGGAAACCGAAACACACAGAGGAAATCCACACCAACACAGGGAAAACATGCAAACTCCACACGGAAATGCCAACTGGCCCAGCCGGGACTCTTTTTGCTAGGAGGCGACAATGCTAACCACTGAACTATCGTGTTGCCTACTGTAAATCAATTACAGCAATAATACTGTATTTATGACATCATTAACAGCACAGAAAAAAAAACATCAACAGGTTTTTTGACAAAGTGAATGGAGAGTAAATGACAGATTTATCAGTTTTGGGTGAACTATCCCTTTAACTTGCCTTGCTGACATTTTTAGATCATCACAAATCATTCTTGAAATTCTGATTATCCATGTACTATCACTAAATTAAATCCAAATGTTTGTTTACATCTCTTCCAATATCTTGCACACTGCCCTTAGGCTGTCCATGCTGTTAATCCCTGATATGCAAGTGCGTAAAACTCAGTCCACTCTAGCCTATGAAAAAGCAACAATTTAATAAAGACACAGGAAATAAACAGAGATGAGAAAGGAAATGAAAAACTCTGTGGGAAAGAACTTCATCTGAATGACATCTGTTTCAATGCGCGCACACTCTATTCTCACGGTTACAGGAACCAAACGTTATGAAGTGATACATACCGTCTTGGAGTCTAATTCGTGGTGTGGTTGAGCTAAGACTTTATCTACACTGGAAACATCTGCAAACGTGATGAAGCCAAACCCTCTGTGGAATAAAAACACGAAACACAGTGAAGGTCAGGAGATAACCACAGAAGAGGCAGGAAAAAATGGTGACAGCAGACAAAAAGCACTCTTGTATGTTTCGCTGATACGCTCTGTGAAGGCAGGGGTGTTGCAATCATTATGACATTTTCAGAAATTTCCACTTGTTTTTGAGAGATAATTATAACTTTTCAATGGCTTAATGTGTCGCTGCTACATCTTACAAACCGTTTCTATGCCCTTGAAGTAAGTATATGGGTCAAAGATGAAAAAAAGAGGTTTACATATCCAAAAATATTGTCAGTCATATTTAACTCAACATTTAATGACATTTTAAAAGACTCTAAGGATCAAAGTGCAGCCCAAAATAATAATTACAGTCATTTTAAATGTTTATACATAGCCTTTTGCCCATCTGTCAGCAAGAAATCTTTAGCAATTTGTATTAATTTAATAATAGTAATGATAATAGCATGCTCATTTACACATTTCATTTAGTACTTGTCAAATTATGTATATTACTTTATTTTAAAACATAATTACCCATTTGTTATACCGAAAAAGTTTGATTTTTGATTTGATTTTCATATTTTTTCAAAACACAAGCATTAAGGTTAAAAACTTGCATCTAATAAACATTTGAGTATACAACATTACTTTTGTAAATTGTATTTAATTCAAAATCCAAAATGAGATGTCATATTTGACCAAAACTCATATACATACGCTGTACAAACACATGATGGACCACATTAAGCACAAGTACACTTGTTTTAAAATTGATATCGCAGAACCTGCAATGTTGAGTCGTGATTACAATGACTAGGAAGTAAGAAACACATTTCAGAACGTGATTTGTGGAGTCATCGCAAAACCAAAACAGAGTGAAAGACTTTCATTTAGACGTGTTTTATGGAACTTTGACTAAATATATCAAGCAAATTTTAAGCAAGAAATTCTAAAGTTTAGAGATTTAATGAATATTTCATTTTATTTATTTATACAATGAAGACAATACAATGTTACTTGATAAAGGTTTGTTCTTACACTCCACAGAAAACTATAAAACAACAATAAAAAAAAGTTTCTTTGTTCTACTGCATCCATCTATGCTTGCAAATTTGCTTGTTTTATGCAGACGTATGAAATTAAATTCGTATTGTAATATATATGTACGCAACATTCTTTTTTTTCCAAATATCGTGCAGTCCATACATACTGGAAATGACAAATTCTGTAATATGAACTATTCTAATCATAATCTGGCAAAATTAAGTTTAAGTTTGCTGCTTTTTTCAACAGCCATTCAAATCCCAACTCTCATTTTCAGACTCTACAGTCTTTGGTACCTTTTATCTGTATTATTTTTCTCTGTGCAAAGTTCAGAAATTGTGTGAGTTGAGCACAATAAATTCAGCTAATGCTTTTTATATGAGATTCAAAAGGTTCTTAGACAAGTGGTATAATAGAAACAACAAAAGTCAATAGTAGTGTTCATCATAAGCTCGCTTTCTCAAAAATAAGATATATTTAAGGATTATACGCACTCAGACATAATTACAATTAATCCATCTTTTTAAAAAGGTAGGATATGGTTTTAAATAAATATTATGGGGTTTTTGTACACTTTTTTTTTTTCAAGAGTTAACAGCCTCCACAGTTACTAGAACTATAAAAAGCCATCTCTGAAATACAAAGTTTTAATGTCGCTTCTACAGTGCTAGAAAAAAGTAATAAACCCTAAATGAGGGAACATTTAACTGGGTCTCAATATGAATAAATATTTAAATAAATAAATCTGCATTTATGATTTAAAAAATGTAAAGCTATGGATTATTTCAACTGTGTGCTATGTTTTTAATCTTTAAAACAACAGGAAGGAGTTGGAACGATGTGTGTCCTCATTAGGGTTCATGGTTTACAGTATATTCATTTTTAGGCAACAAAAAAATCAAAGTTTAACCTCAGAAGAGTTCAAAAACGTATATATGGTGAACATTTGCTATTCTAACAACTTTCTCATTTTCTGAATAGGATAATACTTTAAAATGTAATATTTCATTTAAAAGAAAATGTTCTCATAATATTATTTTAATTAACATCCTCAAAATTAACATCCTATCCAAAAACATACCTAGACAGACAGACAGACAGACAGACAGACAGACAGACAGGTGTGAGACCCTGAACCACAAAACCAGTCAAATTTGGGAAATTAACATTTATGCATTATCTGAAAAGTGAAAGAAATAAGCTTTCCACTGACGTCTGCTTGAGATAGGGATGTTGGATTAGGACAATATTTGGCTAAGATACAACTACTTGAATATATGAAGAGTTCAAATGCAAAAACCTCTAAGGGGCCATATGAAATTTTCTTCTAAAATTAGCCTTTTTTTCAGCCTCCAATATTTTTGTGCTATTATTTCACTTGAAAGTCAATGCAAAGAACATATTTTTGCCATAAATGTGGATTTACAGAGCATACAGGAGCTGGTGAAAAATACTAATTTTAGAAGAAAATTCCAGATGGCATTTAGAGGTTTTTGCATCTGAACTCCTATTGAATCTGAGGGTTCAAAAAAATCTAAATACTGAGAAGATGATGCTTAACATTTTCCAAAAGAAGGGTTCATCCCACTAATAAAATTGAGTTTTGATATATTTACAGTAAGAAAATTGCACAGTATTAATGAAACATTATCTTTAATTCATATTACAATGATTTGATTTTAAGCTTAAATACTGTATTTTCAGCTATTTTTACCAACATATGTGCAAAATAAAACAGGTTTTGTGCTCCAGGGACACGTTATATTAAAAAACATACAACACAATATACTTTGTCTATAATTTGGGCAATCGCTTTCTCTCTGTATAGCCTTAATGTGTCAACTCAATGTCAAATAGCATTATGAATCAGCTTTCGGTCGTGCTCTTCTACATCTGCTCTTAACATATGACAGCGGAACAGGGAGGACAAAAAAACTGAAGCACGTGTGTTTACCTGGAGCGTTTGGTGGTGGGGTCGCGCATCACCATACATTCTCTGATCTCCCCGAATTTGCAGAAATAGTCTCTAAGGCTGTCTGAACAAAACACAAGGACACAAGAGGGTTATTAGAGCGTGTGTCTACACCGCAAGTGAGCGACGCGATGAAGCCTGCGGAGCTGTCGTTATAATCAGCGAAGGTCGCGGGCTTCACACTTCGTTGATTATAATGAGAGCGTTCAAGTTTTGTCGCGTCGCTCGCTTTTAGTGTCAGATGACTAGAAATCACAATAACCTTGTGCGCAGCGACACAATCACAACACACACGCACGCAGTCTCATCGCGTCCGACAGAGAATTACGACGCGAAACAACTCTGAAACACAAGGAAATGTCCTTACCTGGTGAGGTTTGCCAGCTGAGTCCACCGATAAACATTTTACTGTAAAGAGAAAACAAGGAATAAGTGACTCCAGATGTCAAAACGGCCATTATCCGCGTAAACGGCTCGTTTAAGCAGCGACCTACGAGCAACCGGAGCTGAAAGGAACCGTTAGAAATGACCTGTCAATCAAAAACATCAGCAGAACTGCGCGAGCACGGACACAATCAAACTCCAAACACAAACTCGTCCTGTCTTCTTACCCCGGGTCGTGTTGCGAATCGTTCAGGCTTCCAGAGGTGACTTGACTCGCGTCCGCTTCCATTGCTCAAAGCCCAACCAACTCCAAACACATGCATACACACACACACGGGCACTGCAGCCCCAGCTCAAGGAATATTACCGAACCGGGAGCGCTAGCGTCACACGTGGGATCTGCGCGCGGCTCCCGCCCCTCTCCGGAGGAGGCGTGGCTCATAACGTGAGCCGGCCAATCCAGCGGAGCTCTGCGCTCACCTATCAAAGGAAACGACGCCCCCTGTTGGTTAGCAGCGTTTGACAGGAGCCTCGAGAGTACATTCAGTTCTTCTAGTAAGCTCTTAACACTTATAAAGTTTACATTTGCGCCACCTTCTGAATAAACACAGCCGAGAAGCGCTCTGAAAAATATAAGTGATGTTTAAAATCTAAACTAAAATCTTTGTAACACACTGATAACATTCATTGAGTTTGTAAGGTAACTGGTTGCAAACTATTTATATGGGCTGAATTTAAACTCATTAAATTTAGTAATGTTCAACTTAATTTGTTTAAATTCAGCTAATATAAATAGTTTACAACGTTACCTTACAAAAAAAAAATAGTAAACTCAATGAATGCACTAGCATATTCTGTCATGTTTTACTTTGACAGTAATCATCAGTGGCAAGGTTCATTTGTAAATCTAATATAAGTTTGCACATTTAGGCATTCCAATAGACTTATTAGGTAGATTTGTTTTTGCTTTATCTTTAAACTATGTACTTAAAATGAGTTGAAAAAACACAAATCTTAGTTGTTGTTTTTTTTTTTTTTTTTGGGGGGGGGGGGATTAAGAATTAAGACATCTCTCAATTTTTTAAATAATAATTGCAATTTAAAGGTTTATCACAACTGTCTAAATATATATCTATTATACAATAAGCCTTTCACTGATGTATACTTTGTTGTATTAGGACAATATTTGACTGAGATACAACTACTTGAACATCTTGAATCTAAGGGTTCAAATAAATCTAAACACTGAGAAAATTGCATTTTGATATCTTCAAATGTAGAGTACAGCAATGCATTTTACTAATCAAATTGAGATTGTGTACAGTACACTATAAAAAAAATCTAAATTTAATCATATTTTTTTAATAAATTCTGCTTTGATGAACAGATTAACTTTCTTTAAAAAATAAAAAAAGTTGACTGCTGGTGTTGTTGTGATAAAAAATCAGGTATATTCCATTTCTTAATTCTTATTTAGTTAAAATGTAGTTTACTGTGGCTAACAAATTACTAATCTAATCAAATTACTGATCTAATACACAGTAAATAATTGGAAAGAGGAAATAGTGACTCCTAAATGTGAACTTTTCAATATATATTTTTTTTTCTTTTTTTTTTTTTTGCTCTTATCAGAATCTTCCTTATTTATTATCATTTTTTTAAAGAATTTCTTTTAATTTTAATTTAATTTTTTATTTATTATTATTATTATTTTCTTCAGAGGATATGTTTGTTTATAATTCATACATTTAATTTATTTTATTTTTAGAGGATAGTGGGAAAATAAGAAAAAATGTTCCTATGTTGTATTGTATACTTTGGTATTTTGTCTTGTTAAAAAAAAAAATTAACAATAAATTGTATAATACAATGATGACTTTCCAAAGTATATTGATTGTATTAAAGCTGAACTAACATTATTTATCTCTAAACATGACCCCAATACGTTATTTGAACTGTATAATGTACAGAGGATGCTGAAACCCTGACACCCCCACATACTGCATGCAGGCAGTGTGTTTCTCGGCTTTGCTGAGTGAGCATGCTGAATGGATAGATCAGTGTTAGTGTGACATCTGCTGACTTCATTGATATGGAAATGCTCAAATAGGAAGTTTATCAAATGACTGCAGCTCTAGTTTCACAGAAAAAAACAAGGACATTGAATCTCCCACCACCGCCAAATGAGAACTCTTTAACCAGCCAGTCATTAGTGCCTTGCTTAATAAACACAGAGATCATTCATACAGTAGATTATCCTGCTAATGTTCTATTAAACTTCCTCAATCCCACAGCAGACCACAAACAGTCTTAAATTGATGTTTCGACTGTGATATGTATTAAAATCACTTCTCCTGTTATGAAGATGTATATTTAATCTCTTTTCCCTAAGGTTGTGCGCTGATTGGGGATTCAAAACTGACCCAAAACAAATGAATACGATTGGCTAAAATTGGCAATGAAAATTCAGATGTGGTTCAACCACTGTACCAAAATAATTTAATAAAAATACGGCAAAACAAATGCAAAAGCCCACATTTTTTGTTGTTATTGAGGTTTTTCTTCCAGCATGTACCAATATTGAAATTTGAAAGTGCTTTTTCAGCCTGCCGTATTATTCTTTTGCTGCACTTTATCAATTTGTGATTGATTTTTATTACAATTTTTAAGGTGGTTTTCTCAAAATTACTTTTTTTTTCTCCTGCAATGAGCCACAATTCTTCATATCAGCAGCTCTTATTGAAAGAAAATATATATATCAATACAAAGAGGAATATAACACAAAATTTGACTGTTTATATGCAATATTTTATGCTACAATCTGTAAGAGAGAGAATTTTGAGTTTATTGACCTTCCAGCTTCTTTGGCTATGTCAAGGTTCACCAAACCTGTTCTTGGAGGGCCGGTGTCCTGCAGATTTTAGCTCCAACCCTAATCAAACACACCTTAACAAGCTAATCAAGGTCTTACTAGGTATACTTCAAACATCCAGGCACGTGTGTTGGGGCAAGTTGGAGCAAAACCCTGCACGAACACCAGCCCTCAGATTGGTAACCCCTGGGCTATGTCATGACAAAAAAACAGATCAAGTTTATTTTATAAATACCACTTTTCTATAGTTGAAAAAAACTAAAATTCACCAACAGCAATAAATAATACACAATGTAAAATACATAAATATTAATAACGATAATATAGAAGATAAAAGTTTTAAACAGTTTTTGTTTACTTTTGATAAAAATTGTACAATTTTAGAAGGATTCACATTTAAAAATATTTCATTTAAAGTCTCTCCAGTTAAAAAATGTTGTCTGATAACATTAAAAATAGGGCATTCCACAAGAATATGTTTAACAGTTTGGTTTCTTTTGCAATACTAACATTTTGGAGGTTCTGCTCCTTTAAGTAAACGTTCTTGTGTATCCAATGCGCCATCTTCTTTAAACAATCTCATCTAGTTAAAAAATAAATGAGATTTTCTTCCTATTTCTTGCTGAATTTCAAATTGTTTATTTTCCTAAACACTGATCCCATTCTATTTGCCATTTGTTTAGATTACAGCCTTTTGTTAGTGGCTTTAGATCTGAAGGTGGGATTTTGCCTTTATCTGTCCTGTAAGGGCTGTTTTGGCGGCTTCTTCACTTTCAAATAATCCAGCATGTCCTAGGATCCAGCAGAAAACTTTATTATAAAACTTTCTCTATAGTTTAAAAATAATCAATAATTATGGGATACTCCAGTTTAAAAGAATTCAATGTTTGTAGGCAAGAGCTACAATTCACAATCATTAATCTTTTTTTCCAGGCTATTCACACTTTACAGTATTTTCTGAATTATGGAGTGACAAACAGATATTCCCAAAACCTAATAACTCTAATACAGTTGAAAAAATACAATTTTAACCCTCCCGTGAAATTGTAAAGTGTTTTAAATGTGTTGGGAAAAATTCTCACTTCGGAAATATTTGAAGAAAGAAATATTTCACCAGAGGGCTAATCAACTATGCCTTCAACTGTATGTCAAACAGAAGGAATCTGCAAATCTTGAAAAGCAATAGGTTATTTGTTTTTAAGTCAAATTATTGCATTTTACAGGGTACAGTACAGCACGCAGCAGGAAAACAATGAAAAATTAATGATACATGGGTCTAAAATGAAACATTTTATTACGGAGATTAAATCACATGACATTCTCTAAAGTGATGGTCATTTTATATATGACATTTTTAATTTGGGCGGCATGGTGGCTCAGTGGTTAGCACTGTCGCCTCAATAAAAAGGGTGCTGATTTGAGTCTCGGCTGGGTCAGTTGGCATTTCTGTATGGAGTTTGCATGTTCTCCCCATGTTGACGTGGGTTTCCTCCTTGTGGTCCGGTTTCCCCGACAAGTCCAAAGACATGCTGTATAGGTGAATTGGGTAAGCTATATTGGCCATAGTGTGTGTGTGGATGGATATTTCCCAGTGCTGGGTTGCAGCTGGAAGGGCATCTGCTGCATTAAACATATGCAGGTTAAGTTGGTGGTTCATTATGCTGTGGTGACCCCAGATGAATTAAGCCAAAAGCAAAATTAATGAATGAACATTTCACAGAAGGGCTAATATAGCTCTCTTCAACTGTGTCAAAAAGAACTTTAAATCTGTCCTTTGTGAAAAAATGCTAATTAGCACATTTAATAGAATGTCTCATTTGCATATTTAAACAAACTTTCAGTAATCCTGAAATACAGAAAAAATAGACAATTTCAATGTGGTGAAGTCATTGGCCCATGAACAGTTCCTGCCTGTTGTCAAACCATTTCATAACTGTAACAAGAGGCAATTCAATCATAACTTAAAGTTAAAACAGCTATCATAACATTATTGATCAATATGTGGCTCTTTTTGGATTCCCGGAAGCTATAGACATTAAAAATGCAAAACAGATAATACGTTGGGACTATTGTTTTTGTTTACATCCCTCGAAATGGTCTATACATGTTTGCATGTCTAAATGTAATCAATGAACTTGGAAAGTATGGTGAAAACGACTAGTTAATTCATTTATTACCCCATTAACCTGCAGTGTTTTACTTTAATAATCACAGAGATAATTCATAAAGCACATTACACTTCTAAAATTCTCATAAATGCCAGTCTTAAACTGATACTCCAACTCTGAAATGAACGACTTCTCTTAGTGAAGGAGACACTGTGTAGAGTTGTAGATATATTTTGATCTACTCGTAGTTAAGAGTGTTTCCTGCGTCAAGAAAAGTGAACAGCATCATGTTATATGAGCTCAATCTGTGAGGGAGACCCACACACACACTCAGCGGGGCATCTGCGTTTGATTAATGAATGGA